GCTTGAGCCATCGGCCTGAGCTATCGGCTTGAGCTATCGGCTTGAGCCATCGGCTTGAGCTATCGGCTTGAGCCATCGGCTAGAGTTATCGGCTTGAGCCATCGGCTAGAGCTATCGGCTTGAGCCATCGGCTTGAGCTATCGGCTTGAGCTATCGGCTTGAGCTATCGGCTTGAGCTATCGGCTTGAGCCATCGGCTAGAGCCAGCCGGCTCAATGAGCCGGCTTGAGCCTGAGCCGAATTTTTGGCTCAGAAACTGGCTGAGTTTTCGGCTAAGCCGGCTTGGCTCAGCCATTTAACAACACTAGTGCACTGAAGGATCTTTCCATCGATATATGTGACCAAAGATCAGTTAGAACTACTCGCTAGAGGGATATTTTGGATAAATGTAAAAATATTTTGATGGGAAGGCAATTTTAGGCTATACATTAATTTGTAATATCTATCGAATTAGAGTTAAACAACAAATAAAAGCATTTCAGCTTAAAATTAAAGTCGGGCCTACTAGAGTCAACTCCTGAGGTGACTAATGTCAACTCCTGAGCCAGCATATCAAATCTGTTTGAGCCTTAACCAATTTTTACAACTTTAGGGCAAGAATTAAATCAACATAAATTATCCTCATTTTTCGATGATATATGAATTATAAATATCTAAAAATCGATAAATTCCTATAATAAATTTTTCCCGGTCTTAGAAGGTAATTATTTCGAATTCCATATCAATTATTTAATTAATATGAAATTTAATTACTCTCCTCTAATTTTTAATATAAGTATACAATTTTTTAAAAAAGACTGTTATTGAAATATTCGTCCTCTATGCATAAAATTGATCAAAACATTAACAATAAATTATTATAAGTTGATTTGGGTTGGTGCTCAGGTCAGTGCTTGGGTCGGTGCTCGGGTCTATGGATTTGGTCGACCAATTTGTTTGCTTTGGTTTTGGTTCATTTTTTCGACCAAAAACCCAACCAAAAATAATGCTAATTCGACCCAACCTAGCAATTTAACTACACGAATATTTACAATATATATTTTTACCCATTTGCGTCAAAAAAATCAAATATCTTTAAAAATAACGATTATGACAACAATTGTCACTTTTATATGTACATCTTCACTGAAATTTTAATTTAACTTGTTTACAATATATATTTTTACCTATTTACTTTAAAAAAGTTCAAAAATAACGATTATGACAATTGTCACTTTTCTTACATCTTCACTGAAATTTTAATTTAACTTGTTTACAATATATATTTTTAGCTATTTATTTGTAAAAAATTCAAAACAGTTCAAAAATAAAGTTTTGGACAATTATCACTTTTCCATAGTACACTTTCACTGAAATATTAATTTACATGTTTACAAAACATATTTTTACCTATTTACTTTAAAAAAACTCAAAAAAGTTCAAAAATAACGATTATGATTTGTCACTTTTCCATAGTACACTTTCACTGAAATATTAATTTAACATGTTTACAAAACATATTTTTACCCATTTACTTTAAAAAAACTTAAAAAAGTTTAAAAATAACGATTATGACAATTGTCACCTTTCTATGGTACATCTTCACTGAAATTTTATTTTAACATCTTTATAATATATATTTTTACCTATTTACTTTAAAAAAAGTTCAAAAATAACGATTATGACAATTGTCACTTTTCCATAGTACACTTTCACTGAAATATTAATTTAACATGTTTAGGTTTACAAAACATATTTTTACCTATTTACTTTAAAAAAACACAAAAAAGTTCAAAAATAACGATTATGACAATTTTCACTTTTCTATAATAAACTTTCACTGAAATATTAATTTAACATGTTTACAAAACATATTTTTACCCATTTACTTTAAAAAAACTTAAAAAAGTTTAAAAATAACGATTATGACAATTGTCACCTTTCTATGGTACATCTTCACTGAAATTTTATTTTAACATCTTTATAATATATATTTTTACCTATTTACTTTAAAAAAACTCAAAAAAGTTCAAAAATAACGATTATGACAATTGTCACTTTTCTATAATACAACTTTCACTGAAATATTAATTTAACATGTTTACAAAATATATTTTTACCCATTTACTTTAAAAAAATTCAAAAAAGTTCAAAAATAACGATTATGACAACAATTGTCACTGTTCTATGAGTTACATCTTCACTGAAATTTTATTTTAACATCTTTACAATATATATTTTTACCTATTTACTTTAAAAAAATTCAAAAAAGTTCAAAAATAACGATTATGACAATTGTCACTTTTCTATGGTACATCTTCACTGAAATTTTAATTTATCTTATTTACAATATATATTTTTACCTATTTACTTTAAAAAAATTCAAAAAAGTTCAAAAATAACGATTATGACAACAATTGTCACTTTTATAAGTTACATCTTCATTGAATTTATAATTTAACCTCTTTACAATATAAATATGTCAAAAGGTTTCAAAAATGTATAAAAAACGAATATGACAATTGTCACATTAAAATATTTTCCTTTAAAAATACATATAAAATAACATAAAAAAGTTTAATATAAATATTTTTAAAAATTATTTAACCACCTCTTTAAATATACAAAAAAATAGATAGTTTTACAAAGATGATTAAAAAAAACATAAAAGATTTCACCTCAAAGATTGTTTATTTATAAGAAAATTCTCCAAAATATTTATCAAATGAAAATTTAAAATTCTTATTATTTTTGAACTTCATAAAAAATTTTTGCTTAAAAATTTGGGCGCGTGAAAATCACTAATAAATTGTAACAAAAAAAAATAATATTACAATACAACAATAGCAGCATATTGTTTATTAAAAATACATCAAATCAATGAACTATTTTCATAATATATAAATTAGTTTAAAAAAAATAAATATATATTATATTGTTTTTTAACATTAAATAAATAAATTTTGGCTTAAAATAAGACTCGAGCCAACTCTTGAGCCGGCTTGAGCCAACTCCTGAGCCGGCTTGAGCCAACTCCTGAGCCGGCTTGAGCCAACTCCTAAGCCGGCTTGAGCCAACTCTTGAGCCGGCTTGAGCCAACTCCTAAGCCAGCTTGAGCCAACTCCTGAGCCGGCTTGAGCCAACTCCTGAGCCGGCTTGAGCCAACTCCTGAGCCGGCTTGAGCCAACTCTTGAGCCGGCTTGAGCCAACTCCTGAGCCGGCTTGAGCCAACTTCTGAGCCGGCTTGAGCCTAAGCCAATTTTTCGGCTCCGGCCTCGAGGTCGGAGCCGTAAAAACTCGGCTTTTTAACAACACTAGTATACATACCTCTCCTTTTTGGATTGTAATGTTTGAGGTCTAGAATTTTCAAAATGAAAAGGTAAATTTATCTTCTTCATAAAATCTTGTGCCTTTGAAAAAAGATCCAATAATAAATATTCTTAAAAACTACTATTTCAAAGCTTTTCTTTATATCGTTAAAATTAAGCCCTCCAAGTCTTTTTCTAATGTGGTCTGCCCATCTCTTATATTATGCCATGTGCAATTATTAATTAAGCATTTATATTTTTTTGGTTAATATTTTTAGAAATATTTTGAAATTGAAAAAATAATTTTATGACAAGAAATCTCGAATAACAACCTAATTTGCTAAACATCGACCAAAATTTTTTAAAATGTAATAAGACCTCCCATTTATTCTTTAATTAAATATGTATTAAAGGAATAACGTGGTCGAGTCCGATATCATAAACCAAAAATCACTTGGTTATGGATGGGTGTAGTAAAACATAAAAGCATTTTTAAAAATTTTAAGTACCCCCCCCCCCACTCATGGAAGTAGTTGCTTTGGACCTCCCTCCTCCGTTGTAGAGGCCATTGCTAGGGAAGAAGGGGAAGGGAAAAATCAACTTAATTAGAATTAATATTTTTTGGAAGGAAGTAAAGCATGGAAAGTCACAAATTATAGATTTACCTGAAGATCAGGGTACTGAAGATAATTTGTCCTCCGATCATCATCTTATGATCGATTAGCAGGCTCCAACGGGTAATTATTGAATTAATCCCATCATGCCTTGCATATCTGCCTTGACTATATAATATACAATTAAGACCATATAGCTCTTTATGTGGTCGAACAATATCGCATCCAATTTGGCGGCCTATGACAACTCTCACTTGTTCATGTAATAGGTTACCTAGGTTACGATTTAATAATACTTTTTGCAACCATTCTTAACCATTTTATCAAAATAATAGTTGAATATATTCCAAACAGATTATTTAATTTCTCAATTGCCTTCTTTCCAAAAAATATTAATTTGAATCCAGTTGATATTGCCAAAACAAAAAAATATACTATAAATTAACTAATTATATTTCTATAACAATCTTTATCTTTTATATGTATGCGGAATTTTAAGTTTTAAAAAAAATATAGGAAGCAAAAAAGCCATTGCATCAGAACCTAAAGAATTTGTTTTTTAAAACAAAATATACTAATTGAATCATTATGCTCACGCAACAACGGAAGACCCCATGGTATCAGCCTATAATACCTTAGTTTTCCAGTTTAAATGCCTCAGCAATTAGTTCGGTCAGAAATCTTGAAAATAAATAAATATTCAGACATCGCTAACGTAATTTTAATCTGCTTGTAACCAATGGTGTCTTTGGTGAGGGATTCCTATGTTTATCACACTTTTAATAAGTGGCGATCGTAATGAAGCCGTCTATGCAATTACAATGACTATTCATCGAATAAATTTGCTATTCATATATAATAAGTCGGTCTGACATTCCGTTTTTATATTTTAAATTATCATACTAAAAGTGTTTTTTTAAACTTTAGGAAAGAAAAAAAAATAATAAAGTAAAGCTACCAATTCAGAATACTTCAGATAGTATAAAATGGTGGCCCACAACTCAATGTCAGGGCGTGGTTGAGGGTTTTATTTTAGATTTTTTATTTTACTCCCTTAAAATTCCTATAAAATTTTAATCAAAGTGAAGGAAAAATATTACTGATCCCTCAAGTGAATGTGTCTGGCCAAATCCAACAATGGTTTGAGCAATTTAGTTTTCATAAGCTTCCCATGGGCTACAACTTTCCTGAGCTTGAGCCATTTGACCTCGCTGGCGAATAGAGGTTCCATGGATTCGAATTTCGCCTTTTCGGCGAGGAGTTCTTCTTCGAAACACTTCAGGGATTTGCCTAATGATTATAAACGATAATTATTTTGCTTGTTAACGGATGGAGTAATATGAAAATCTTTGGGCTAATTAGCAACAAGCAATTTTACTTTTCTTAAATTAACTTGTCCATTTTGAGAATCAAATATTAAGTTGTGAAAATTAGTATAAAAAATAATCGTGATTTTAAACTTATATTTCAACACTATTTAACATAAAATTTTTATATAATATAATAAAAAAGAATTAAAAACTTTAACAATTTGGGGAAAATGTACTATGATCTTTAAAACAAATATGTATATTATTATCTTCATATTGGATTTGTTTTTTTGTCTTTTGTATACTTTACTATTGATTTATTTGAAGGCATCTTACAAATATCTGCACATTGTCAGCAAATCTATCAAAAATGCCTTACGTGCGTGCCTTACACCCTAGTCTAATAATAATTTAAATTTTTGCTGAAGTTTCTAATGGTTATTTTCGATATAATTTTCTAGGATACAAGCAGGATCCCCAATTTATAGCGATTTAGAATAGAAAACTGTCATTATATTTTATTTTCTCCTATAAAAATATTAGATAGCATCACAAATCATCCATTAGTACAAAAATAAATGTTGGTTTAACTTCGACCAGGGTTAGAACCAGGTTGGGGGCCGTTTTCTTCTTCTGAAACTAACCTATGTACCTGCGTGCTACCTATATTAGATATATTTTTAGCCGTTTAAGGCTATCGAGTGTCGAAAGTATCACCTTGGTCTCGGGGCTATAGCAACTCAAATTTGGAAAAAATTAATATGAATTAAAATGCCTTAAAGTTAAATGATTTTCTCCGGCACATGCCAATGAACTAATCATTCATCCGTTGATATATATTTAAGAGTCTTATTTCATTTTAATTTTAAAAAATTGGAATTGCTATTGCGAATTTGATGCAAAAATAATTATAGCAGGCGATCTAAGTATTTTATTAAATTAGAGGTGTAACCCATACAGTTAATTATGAGTTTGACCTGATTTTATCGATATAACCCATCCAAAAGGCAAAATGGGATCTTTCCAATTATTTTTTTAAATTTCTGTGATCCAGTATTAACGTGGGTTCTAAATGAGTTCTAGTTTTGAAGTCTTCCGAAGGTTTAGATTATGGTTCCATGCCATTAAAACAACGAAAAAAAAGTCTAAAATGAATCGCAACATTTTGAACAATATATATTACTGTTATTATACTTATATAGAGGGATATACCGATAATATCGGATCGGATAGGGCCCATATTTCACTCTAAAATATCGGTTATCGGCAAATATTATAAAATTTTCCGATCCGATAAAAAATGGCGTTTTTAACAAAATAAAATATTATAAAATTTTTAAAAAACCATTTATTTTTATAAATAAAATCGAAATCAATAGTTAATAAATATACCATATTGTTATTTTTTTTCGCATTCTGTTTATAAAGTGTGCAATAATCTCTTCAGAATCTGCTTTTAGTGAAGCTAGTGATATTTATAGTCCCCATCACCGCAGACTGATCTCTGATAAACTGGAAATGGTATTTCTAAAAAGAAATCTTCGATATATTAATTTTAAATATTAATTTATATTTCAAATTTTATAATAAATAAGTGATTTTTCAATAAAATTTTTTTATATATTTTTAGAATTGCAATTGAATTGAATATAAAACTATAAATCATCATTATAATTAAATTATAGATGTTATACCAATAAAAAGTATATTAAAAATTAAAACCATTGTTATCTTTACAGAATACAAAATTAGATAAGATATCGGATCGGTAATCGGTCGATATCAATTTCGAATCAGCCTTTAAAAAGTGGTATCGGTACACCCCTACCTATATATTTGTTAGAACTTATGGATCCGGTTATTAAAAATTATAAAACAGTTCCTATTCCTATAAATTTTAAGAAGGGATTCAAGGGTTTTGTACCTAAAACTATCCTTGTTCCAAAGGTTCTATTTCTAGATTCTTCAAATAACATTGCATCATAAATATATTTTATATAAAAAAATATTAGCTGTTTTATACATTTTGGATGGTACTCGATTAAAAGAATATAAGAAACATTTTTATAGCGAAAAAATGAATGGTACCTTTATTAAAGGTGGGTTCCTTATTTGTAGGTGGAGTGCTAGGCATAGTAGAACTTAATTCGTCATCGATCAAGTTTTGTCCCAAGTAATCTTCGAGCAAAGAATGCCCGGTAGTGGACTTCGTGGGAATATTAAGATTTTGATCTTGGTTTGGATTGTTGGAATTTAAATGTGAATCTATTAACGTCGTTTGTTGCATCGTATTGGAGACTTCCTTATCGAGGCATTCCTCAATCTCGTCAATGTTGTAATTAGTAGTTGGACAAGGGAAATTATCGAAATCTAAATTTTTTGATGTGAATAAAAGGTATATTTCGTTTATTCCTATCTTAAGATGGATGGGTTAAGGGATATGGACGACAAAAAAGAAATTTAGCACTAGAGTGTTGAATATAATTTTTTTTAAAAAAGAGTGAAAAAAAAAAGAAAATTCATTAATTAAACGTCAGGAAATTATTTATTGATAGACTCGCGTTAACGAAATTAAACGTAAAATAGTCGGGAAAAAAATTTACAAATAAAAATGAAACACATGAATATTATTTATTATAATTGGATTAAATAAAATATGTTTCTTAATGTATTTCTATCCTTTAAAAAGCAAGTTATTTCTATAAAATATCATAATTAGGGTGGTGCAAAATGAAGGTAACGATACAATATTAAATATCGGATCGGGGTCGATATTTTCCATTTTAAAGGAAAATTTGATTGGCCAAATATTTAAAAAACTCGTATCGGATATTATCATTGTTTTTGGGTTATTTTATGATTGCAATTTTATATAAATTTTAATAATTAATAATAAATGAATAAACAATTTATATGTTATGATCAACTATTGCTAAACGGCTCGATTTGAGCCGATTTTTAAAAACGTCTAACTCAATTATTATTCAGAAAAGTTTTCCGCAAGCCTGAAGATTCTGCTCATAAGTGGCACAAAGGTTTGGGGATCTAACGAAATCTCTAGACTTAGGCAATATATTTCTAGTTAAAATATTAAGTTAGCCATGCTTAAATCAAGCCGTTTAACAACATTAATTGGGGAATAAAAAAAATACACTTTATCATTCTTAATGAAAGATCCACCAAATATCGTTTTACTCTTAGCCATGAGAAACATAAAGTATCAGTTTTTATTGTTTTATATTATAACCATTACAATATTTCGTTTTTTTTGCATAGAAATTATTAATTTTTTTATGACATTGGTTGGAAAATATATGGTAAATAAATAATTTAGATTATCGAATTGGTTTTTTGTGTGAATACCGGAAAATTATGGGATCGGCACAATCCTAAAATATAATAATTATAAAATTTCTAATACGAAAATCGAAATTATTTCACAAAAGCTAACTAATTTTTTTTTTAATTTAGAAAAAAAATTGCTTTCTAAGACCTTGATAAGAATCGTTGCAAAAGGTCTGAAATTCGTCTGTTCTCAAAGCCAGAGGCCCACTTAACCTTTTCCGGAAGTTGTCATGCAAGGATGCGCAAACGGGATTAGGAGGATCTATCCTGATAAATCTTCTATGTTGCAGACATAATGAATGGTGCAAAGAAAGCCCTATCAGGTCCATATAATCATATAAAGATTTTGGAATTTCTGACGTTTCTAACTTTTCCTCGAGAACGTTGGGAAGCTTTAATACATTTTTTTTTAAATTAAATAGGAAAAAAATGGGATTTTATAAACAAGGAAAGAAAAAAGATTATTTTAAAACCACAATGAACTATAAAGATACCGTATATGGCGTAGGTCAACATATAAGGATTTACTAAACTCCTAAATTTTATTAAAAATGCAATGACACTCATTTTTAATATATGTTAACTTTAAAGGAATATATTTTAAAAAACTGATTAGGTATGTAGTAATTAGAGGCTAAAACATTTTCATCGATTTTATAGTTTTGATAATTATTCTAATACTTCTTCCATGTGTGGATCTTTTCGTGTGATTAAATCATCGGAATCGATATATTCCAAGGATACTATAAGGTGTACATCAGGAAAAAGCTTATTTATTTTTTTTAAATTTCATTTTATATTTTATTACAAAAACATAATAATTAAAATTATCATCCAAAAGTAGGGATGTGACGATATTTAGCATTTTCAAATAATTACGATTCGATCCAATATTTTTCTATTGTTTGGGGATATTTTATGATCGTATATATAATTATATAATATTGTTTTTATTTTATAACATAATGAATGATAAATTAATCAAAGGAAATTTTGTTAATTACTTAAGCTTATTGATTTTGCCCATAGAAGGCAGAAAAGTTTGGACTTCTATTAGCAAAAATTTGAGACTTAGGTAATAATATTTTGGCTAAAATCTTGATTTAGTCCTTTTTTAAAAAATCGGCGAAATGGAGCTGCTTAATAACACTACTTTCCCCCTATAAACATTACAGATATTTCAAATTAGATTATTAACTTTTGGAGAATATAAAAAATACACTGTGAAAAAAAGTTGGTATTTTTAAAATTGAAAGTTCAAAGATAGATGTTAAATAAAAATTAGTATAAATATCGGACGTTTTTTAGGTAAAAAATTTGTGAATTGGTATAGCCCTTACCCAAAAAAATGAGAAGAAAAAAATTTGTTTTTTTGATAAAATTGTGTTTAATAAGTTGAGTCAATAAATGATTCCAAGCAAAAAAGAAGGAAATATATTTTAAATCGATAGTAGAGCTAAATATATTATACCCATTAAGAGGGAATCTAAACTCAGGTTTTTATGGACTTGGGCAATCAGAACAGATTTTAAATGTGATAATTTATCTTGGTCATTACTAGTGATGTTAAGTTACCTGTAACTAGTTACATTTTGGCTAAAAAATAACTGTAACTAGTTATATTTTTAAAATTGTAACTAGTAACTGTAACTAGTTATAATTTTTGAAATGTAACTGCCAAAAGTAACTAGTTACTTTTAAAGATATATTCAAATAATTAATTTTATTTTTAATATGTTGTGATATATTAATTTTAAATTAAATTTATTTTTAAAATTAAATTTATTAATTTTAAATTTTGTGAAAATGTCTGATTGTTATAATTTCCCGTTCAAATTGATTTTCTTTTCTTAAATTGTTACATTGCTGCTGGGCTTCATAATTTTGTAAGCAAATTCAAGTAATTTAATAAATTTTAATATTATATTTATTTACAAATGTAGCACAATATATTTTTTTCCGTCAAGTAACAAGCATTGGAACTTCATATCATACGTAATAAAAAAAATTTTAATTTAGTATAAGGAAAAACAAAGACAGATTATTTTAGAATTTAATATTAAATTATTAATCATTACTTACAAGAACCAATCATGTTATAGGTTTAATAATCTTTATGATAATGACAACATCATTGCTGCAATTCTTCACCCTTTATTTAAAACTGACTGGCCTTGGATTAGGCAAGAAAGGAATAAGGCAAAAAAGGAGGAAATTTTAAATTTAATAAATACCTTAATACCTCAAAGTGAATCCCAGACGAATGAATCATGCTCAAAACCAACATCACTTGATGTAGTTGGATTTTTTGACCTAAAGCGCTAAAATATTCTGGATAATGAACTTATAGAAAATTTTATCAAATCTAATAACAATACTTTTTCTTTATATAACGATTTTCCAAAGTTAAAATTACTCTTTATTAAATATAATGTTGTTCTAACATCAAGTGCTCCCGTAGAGTGCTTGTTCAGTCTAGGTAAGCTCATTTTTGGAGATAAACAAGCACGTCTCCTAGATAATAACTTTGAAATTAAATTGTTAAAAGCAAATAAACATTTATTAGATTCTAATTTTTATGAAAAATAAATTTTTTTTTCAATGCAAATATATATTTTTATATTCGATGTAAATATTCAATTTTGCGATATTTTTTTATATAAATAAATTGTATATTATTTTAAATAACTGATTATACTTTGTTTATCCTAATTTTTTTTATATTAAATAAATGCATTCAATAAATAAATAATGCGCATATGAATGATGTATAAAGTAACTAGTTACTTTTGAAAATAATTGTAACTAATAACTAGTTACTTTTGTAAAAATGTAACTAGTAACTGTAACTAGTTATGTTTCAAAAGTAACTTTTAACATCACTAGTCATTACTAACTCATTTTTTTTAATGACACTAAAACAAGGCTTAAGAAATTGATAATTTAATAAAAATGTCATTACTGTCAGAGTTATGGTATTTCCTATCACATTATGAGGGAGGAATGAGGTTTCATCTTCTAAGGCTTCTTTAACTAGCTTTGGTAAAAAAAATTAAAACATATGTAAATAAATAATGATGAGGATTAAAAATGTAAAATGCACAATATAATGGGCTACATTTTATAAACATTTATTTATTATTTAACACATTTTTCTTAAACACACCTAATTATGCCTTTTTAAAAGAAAAGAAAGTTTATTAATATTAATATTGTTTAGAATGAATATAACTACTAACTAAACTAAATGATTTTTTTTTAAAGTATATTAATTTGGCTAAAATGCTGCTATGGTTGCATGATAAGAATTTATCATTTAAAAATAAGATGTTTCATTCTATTACTACCAAAGACGTAAAAAGCATCCGCTGTGGTAGGGCTCAGGACAAAGAATTCCGATTTCCAAATTATTGTTAAGGATCTCATAAGAAATTTTGATTTTATGACAGGAGGGGGGGGGGGGGGTGGTTGACACTTCTAATAATTGTTTTGTAAATAATAAACTAAACAATTTTATTGTAAAAATAAAAATATAGTTGAAGGAGTCATGGATTTCAAAAAAGTAAATTATTTTAAAAATATTTTCTAACTCAAGTCGATTTTGATAAGAAATTATATCAATGACTATCTCATAACCTTGGAAATCGTAATGTGGTAATAGATTTCATCAAAGTTCCTCCTATTGTTTTATGTAACATGTAAAATTTGATTTGATCATAGACAGAACAAACTAAAATTATATATTTTGAAAATGTAATGAAGTGCTCTATTAATAACTTTGTAAAGTTTGATTTTTTATTATAGTTGGTGGCATTTGTTTTGTTTCTAATAGAGATTCCAAGTTTTCAAGAAAATCAATGGCTTTGTTTCTTAATCAAGTCAAATAGAATGAAAACTATTTTTCATCATCTAAATTTTCTTTTTCCTCCAAATCTGCTTTTTGATTCTATCCTAAAATATAGCTGCAGTATAATATAAATTAGGGCTGTGCCGATCTACATATTTTTCACCGATCTGATTTGTTTTCCGATACTGGTTTAAAACCGATCTGATATTTATATTGATTTTTCACCACCACCCTTTGAACCAAATGTAATTAAGAAATCAATATTTTTAATTTTTTTTATTTCTACAATTAAGACTATAATTAAAAAAATATATTATAATAATGTAAAATAAATATACATAACATAAAATAAAATAAGAAAAAAAGAAAAATAAAAAGATCGGATCTGGTTTTATAGGTATCGGACCGATCCGATATTTCGGAAAAAGTAAAATATCGGTTCGATCCGATATTTAATATCGGCACAACTCTATATATAATATAAATTTTATAATGTGTTATATTAAAATTATGATATAACTACTTGATAATAATAAATTTGTCATGCTGAAAAAATTTCTCTTAAGTAAATTTTTTTTGGGGAGATTAGCATCTTCTCTAACAATGTGCCTGTAATAAAATGAACATCTTATTATTTTAAAATGATAAGTTCAAGTGTAATAAACCAAATTTTTATAATAATGTATAAAAAAGATTTTTATAAAATTTAATATAATAAATTTATTTAAATAGTATGGTTTAAAATATAATAACATTTTAAATGATTAATCAACCATATCATATTTATTTATTTTTGAAATAACTGTAAATAGAATTTCTTTGCAGAAAAGAGAATTTTGAGCTTCTTCCAATTTCTTATTTAGCAGATAATTATGGACTTGACTATAACTTCTGAGGGAACTGGCATTTAACTTGTTAGAACTTGAATAAATTTTTCCATCTTAACAAGGAAATGTGAAATTTAAAAATAAAATGTAAATTATATTAAACATAAAAAACCAAATTAAACTTGACCTTATATTGATATGTTAATATATATCAGAGACCTGCAGAGGTACCATTTGCACGGCCTGGCCCGGTTCGGTATTAAATTTTTTAGGCCCGGCCCAGATATTTTTTAAAAAAACTTTTTACGGCCCGGCCCGCATTTAAAAAATTAAGGCCCGGCCCGGATATTTTTTAAAAAAAAATTTCAGGCCCGGCTCGGAATTTTTTTAAATTATATTCGACCTGGTATATACAAAAATTCACCTTTTTACCATATTTTTCAGTGAGTATTATCGCTTATTATTTAAAAAATACATGTGAATTTATAAAAATTATAAAACTGTTATTTATAAAAATGGATATTTTGAGCATATACTATATTTTATATTGCATTTATAAAAATAAAACTAATATTCATAAAAATGGTAATAATATTTTAAGCATATACTATATTTTATATTGCATTTAAAAAAAATAAAACTAATATTTAATTTATAAAAATGGAAAATATTTTGAGAATATAATATATTGTATTTAATTGACTATTTAATTTATAAAATAAAAATAAATCGCTATTTAAAAAAATGCATGTATAATAAATAGTATTTTGAAAATATAATCTAATTGCACAATATTAATATAATTTATTTTATAATATAAATTTTTAACAAAAGAAGATAATTGTATTATATAATATTGTAAAAAAGAATAATGAAAAATGTTGGATTAAAAACTTTCATGACTCAAGGTAAATATAATAAATGCAATAAATATTTGACAGTTTGCAAAGTAAAAAACCAGCATGATTGACGAAACCCTATACTCAAGAAAGATATTAAAAATTCACAAATTATCATGAAGAAAGAGAAGCATATCTACCTTTTCAGGTTGAAGATTACTTCTTCTTTCTTCAAGAATTCTTCCAGTAGTGGAAAAATTCCGCTCACAGCTTGCACTTGAAGCAGGAATTGCCAATTTTGCTAAAATTGGAAATTCGCTTTGATGAGCCGCCCACCACTCTAACAAATTATCCACCTTAAATGTTTCATCTATTTTTTTATTTATGTAATTATAATATTCATCATTGGGTATTGACATATTACCAGAATTACCATCGCCCCATTTGTCATAAAACGATTCAGTTTGTTTAACAACAGTCGTAATTTGACTGGTCGATGGTATTTCATTTACTTCCTAAGCCTCTTGTAATTTAATATAATCTTTTATATAGTTTTCCGTCATCTTGCGATCTGTCCTTGACTACATACGTAATTCCTTGAATTTGGGACAGAGAAAAAGAGAAATAAAATGATACTTGTGTAAAACAAATTTTTCAATTAAAAAATGCTTTATATTAAGTAAAATCAATTTTATTTCTCCTTTTTCGCTTTGAAAGGTATTACAAACTTCAAGAAGTGATATTCCTTTATTTGATTGTTTTGGTAAAATATATTCTAAAAATTTAGATATGTATTATAAAAAAATATATTAATAATATTAGAATATTGGGGCTTATTTAAGATATTCCTTTATTTGATTGTTTTGGTAAAATATGTTGTAAAAATTTAGATATGAATTATAAAAAAATATATTAATACTTTGAATAAATTTGCAGGAAATTAATAATTAGATCGATCTGTGGGTGTTAGGTAGTGTTAACCATCACCCAATATATTATTTTAATCATAACTGTAATATAATATAATCTTATAACCATTAACTCATAATGTAAAAATTTTTATAAAAAATATTAAGGCCCGGCCCGGGTTTAACAATCTTAGGCCCGGCCCGGATATTTTTAAAAAAAATTTTCTTAGGCCCGGCCCGGATATGTTTAAAAAAATTTTTTTTAGGCCCGGCTAGGGTATATTTAAAAAATTTAAAATACGGCCGGGCCGGGTTTAGGGCCAGGCCTGCAGGTCTCTGATATATATATTTATGTGTATTTGATATAAAGCATTAACTAATTTTATTTATCAACATTAATGCTAAGCAAATATGGAGCTAACCTCTATGGATGCTAATTTTGATATAGGCTTCATTTTTAAGTTGCTGTGGCAATATAATTTTTAAGGTAGAAGATGAATCTATTTTAGAATTCTTGCTGACTTCAAAATTGCCATTTTCATTGAATTGAGAACCAACTAAATATATTTATTTATAAAATCAATTTAAAACTAATAAATATAAACCTGATTTATAACTAATGTCCCCCAAAATCTTTTCCCCAACTTTTTTAAGCCTCCAAATTTGTCTTAAATTTAGAAGTTCTAAATGGAAATTTTTCTGAACTGTGGTTATGGGAGATAATAAAGGATTAGATAGGGTAGTTTTGATAGTCTCTGCACCATTTAATAGAATTGATGCTGCTTTTGATAAGGTCTAATTATATAAAATTAGTGCAGGTGAAAAATGGTGTTAGAAAAATTTTCTATTATATTTATTAAAAAAAATTAATTTTTTAAATAAAACATGTAGCTTCTACTTTATCTTATAAATTTTATTAAAATTATAAATAAACATATTTTTAAGTATGCTAATATAATTTCAAACTAAATGAATTATATAAAATACATTTAAATCATGCATCAATAATATCTTTTAATTAACTTTCTTTTTGCCTAGCAAAACATATGCAGGTTTATTATCTGGATTATCATTAGCAATAAAATCTAGAGCCAGATATTGTTGTTGTTTGGTTATTTTTAAAACATCTAATAAAACATTTATTTCCATTAATGCATTTCTATAAATTATTATTTAAAAAAAATATATATAAATAAACCTTAATTTTATTAAGCTTGGCTCGATAATAGAATTTTTGCTTAAAATATGTTTCTCAGATTTCGCTTCATTTTCAGCATTTCCAGAATTTTCTTCAAAATCTATCTTTTCGGATAGTTCATTTATATATTCATTAAAAGATAATGGTCTTTATATATAATTCTATAAAAATTTAATCCAAATTATTTTAAAAACTTTTTATAAATTTCAGTTCCATCATAGAGTATTTCTTCAATTTTATAATCATTTACAGGTTCTATGCCTATTAAAATATCCTCACTTAAATTTTCCATTTTTCAAAATTTTGAATATTCATGAACCAATGACCGCGTTATATTGAAAATATGGTAAATATATTCGACATTTATGATATGACGAGAGGATATATAAAAAATTATGTTAATATTAACTTATTATTTTAATTGCCAAATAAGATTTATATATTATCTAATTTTGTATATATTAATAAATTTTTAATATAGTGGATTAATCTTATTATTTTTTTTGCAGAAGTATTTGTAAGATTGTTTTTTTTTTAAAGGTATAAACTTTTTATTAAGAACTTTATAATATTTAATACATTGAACGTTAAAAGTAAAACATATATACGTAATTTAAAAAAATATATATTAAAAATGTCATCTAAACTATTTATATAAAATCTATATAAAAAACTGTATAATAAAAAAAATAAAATAATTAGAATGGTAAATTGTATGTTGGGTGGGAGGAGGTCAAGAAAGAGAGCCATGGATGGCAATGCAGTTAGATCTGCATATATCAATAGATATGCGCTGTCTGAGATGGAAGCCTTCCTGAGGGTCACCAGTGATGGCGCGGATTTTTTTACAGAGGGTTTTGAAGAAGGTTAGGGCATGATTGCCAAAAGACCCGGTTGTGTCGGATACGATTGGTATGAGATTGCAATTTGTTAGGGAAGTGTATTTATTAATTTTCGAGTTTTCAGCTCGCATGAATGAGTTCTTATTAAAGGAGGGAGCAAATCGGTCGATGCAGGTATAGTCCCATGCTAATGGAATTCCATTACTCCATGGTATTACTGTCAGCCCATCTGGACGTATATTATTCTCGGTTGAGAAGCCACAGGGTTCGAGAGTTTCTGGAATTTGAGCTGAGCGTAGAGCACGGAGAATGGTGCCGTTAACTGCACTGTGTCGAGAATGTCTACCTTTAGAGAATCGACAATGAAGAGGATGGTGTCCAAAACAATCAACGGGTTGAAAACATAATGTACATGTGGAGTTGGCCAGTATATTACAACCAAGACGGAGACCTATTGCTATGCGTAATTCTTCGTTTGTTAAGAGAAGTCCTAAGTTTGAGCTGGGCAAAGCTTCTAACCATTCATAGCCCGATAAGGAAGGCAAAAGTTGTGGAACTTGCAGTTGTGGGAGAGAGAGATGATCAACTGTTAAGGATTCATCAACTGTAATGGGAGATAATAAATGTGAAAGGATTGATGGGGATCCCTTAGAAGCAGCACTCGATATTAAATATTCAACGGAGTGGCGTATTAAGAAAAGATCCCAGTCATGTTGCTTTCGTGATGTGGGGATTGGAGCGGAGAAGGAATTCTCTTTCCAGATTGCTAGGGCGAGGAGAAAGTGGGGGTCTGTGCGATTATTGTTAAGTGATAGCATAATTAAGCGGGAGCTTGATTCTGAGGCTAAAAAAGCAGAAAGGCTGAGTGACACGAGATATTAAGTTATTTTGCAGGTATATCAAATACACATATTTGGAACTTATTTAGATTAATCATTATTTTGTTGAGTTATATTTTATTTTTGGATTACTTTTTATACTTTCTGCCAGATACCACAAAGAAATAAATAAGTAACACTTAAAATATGAAATGGAAGATGGAGAATTTTGGTTGTCCTTTCTGTATCACATGATAAGATAGCATTATGGATTAAAATTCATATCAAGTCATCCATGAGAAGGAGAACCTGAGTATCACAATGTAGTTTGAAGAACGATGATTATGCCACGAGAATATTGTGAGGGGCTAGGTGCTGACTTCTACTTTGAATCTTGGTTAAGCTACCAGAAATTCAGCATAAAATAAAAGGATACATTTCCCATTTAATGGAATATCTGCATAACCAAAAACTGCAGAGGTTATAGTAGGATTTGATTATAATGGTTACTTTAAAAGTTCTTAAGTAAACTTTGTTAGGTTTTACATTAATTAGAACCACATATTGTCAAAAATTAACATCTCAAATTAAAAGATATTGAAATAGAAATGTGTTGTGTTTTCAAACGAAACTTGTTTATCATTTATATTTTTCTCTTTGTTTATACCATACTGGTATATTACCATTCACTTTTTTCTTTGTTCACCTATACCACCATGTTTTGATTTCATCCTCAAAACTGGTTCTAGCCAGTTTTCGAGATGAACATGGATGGAAATTAATAATTGTTTATTATCATTTAATTAAAAAAAAATGAGGACTATATAAGACTTCGGAAAAATAAATTGTATTCATTAAATATTTGATTTTAGTTTTTATTTTCTATGTCCGATGATTTGATGATTTGATGTAATAATTACTTTTGATTAACTATTAAAATAAATTCGTGTTACATTAATTTCTCGACTTCCCTGACGGGGAGACCCGTCTGTTCAACTACAACAAAATGTCTATATGCAATATGCAATTTCATGACATATGTATTTTTGGTAATCAACTTAATAAATTATTTACAGAAATAGAAGTAATAGTCCTGACAAAAACCTGGTTTTATTCGTTTTATTAAAAACCGCGAAATCAAGATCTTAAAAAAATATTATCATAGCCTATTTTTCATGTGGATAGTAAAAACTAGAAAGATTTGGCCCTCTTATGATCAAATCTCGAGATTTGAATATATTTTGGCTATGAGGACGACGTTAAAGCAAATTTTGTAAAAATAGTATTCACTTAGTATTAATGGGTTAAACTTAGCTGCCTTGAGGGGGGGGGGTGATAAAAAGTATAAAAATTGTATAAGATTATTTTTAAATTAAAGGTATTATCAATCCTAAGAAACGAATAAAATTCTCATTTCCGTCATTTTTGACGGGTTATCTACTATATTGAAATTAATATACAGTAATATCCATTAATATAAAAGTTATTCATTGCAATACATTCTCCAATCCTGTATAGCCCTTTGGATTTGCAAATTTGAAAGACAAAACAGGAAGCAAAAATTATTTTGTTTGATCGAATGAATGCTTTAAATTAATATTCTTTGATTTTTATTAAATTAGACAACTGTTAAAGATAAAAAAAAGTTTTTCTTTAAACCCCCTCTTTTATTATGTTAAAGATAAAAAAGTTTTTTTTATCCCCCTCTTTTGTTTATGTTAAAATTAATTAAAGTTTTTTTTACCCATCCCCTTTGTGTACCATAAAATGAAAGTTAAAAAATGTTTTTCTTTTTTTTGGTAATTTTTGTTTTAAGTTAAACACAGTGAGATTAACACATATGGCTTTTGTGTTTTCTCTCACTTTACTGGATTTCTTACTTTAGGAGTCCTCAGTAAGGTGATCCGAAAATATGAGTTAGACCGTTGGGTCCGGGAGACCACCCTGCATCCCAAGGTATATTTTGAGTTTCGGGAAGTTTAGGGGGGTAGGTTTTATCCCCAATTATGTACGATAAAACTAACACAACTCGATTCCACAAAAACGTTCTTTTTTTCACTTTGCGCCAATTTAATTTTAATTTATAATTGCGCCTTTTATTTTCCCTAAAAAAGGGACAAATTTTTTATAGTTTGAATATACTTTATTTTTTCCTGTAAAATAATTTTGAAAATCTTTATTAATCTTTTTTATGTTTAAAATAATGTTGAATTTTTTATAGTTTAGATATATCTGATTTTTCTTTTTGTAAAATAATTTCTTGATATTAATAAAACGATAAATTAAACAATAATGTCTACGACTCGTTCACAAAATACTTCATTGGCGCCCTGGTTGGGGCTCGAACCCAAGACCGTTAGGTATGAAGTATTTTGTGAACGAGTCGTAGACATTATTGTTTAATTTATCGTTTTATTAATATCAAGAAATTATTTTACAAAAAGAAAAATCAGATATATCTAAACTATAAAAAATTCAACATTATTTTAAACATAAAAAAGATTAATAAAGATTTTCAAAATAATTTTACAGGAAAAAATAAAGTATATCTAAACTATAATAGGGAAAATAAAAGGCGCAATTATAAATTAAAATTAAATTGGCGCAAAGTGAAAAAAAGAACGTTTTTGTGGAATCGAGTTGTGTTAGTTTTATCGTACATAATTGGGGATAAAACCTACCCCCTTAAACTTCCCGAAACTCAAAATATACCTTGGGATGCAGGGTGGTCTCCCGGACCCAACGGTCTAACTCATATTTTCGGATCACCTTACTGAGGACTCCTAAAGTAAGAAATCCAGTAAAGTGAGAGAAAACACAAAAGCCATATGTGTTAATCTCACTGTGTTTAACTTAAAACAAAAATTACCAAAAAAAAGAAAAACATTTTTTAACTTTCATTTTATGGTACACAAAGGAGATGGATAAAAAATACTTTAATTAATTTTAACATAAACAAAAGAGGGGGATAAAAAAACTTTAACATCTTACACATAATAAAAGAGGGGGATAAAAAAACTTTTTTATCTTTAACATAATAAAAGAGGGGGTTTAAAGAAAAACTTTTTTTTATCTTTAACACTCCCCCCCCCCTAAATAGGCCACGGGGAGGGGGGATGATCCCGGTCTCGACTTAGCTTAAAAATTTTAGAATTATTACGAGTTCCGAAAACCGTCCCAACAAAAAAAAACCAATTCCCACAATAAACAAAAATACGTAACTGAAATACTAAGAGTGACTAATAGAACGCCCTAGAAAGTATAACTGAATTATCATTATAAAACTAATTAACCCTCCTCCCCCCCTAAATAGGCAACGGGGAAAGAGGAATGATATATATTGACTGGAAAAAAAAATGAAAAAAAATATATTTATAGTTTATAAATTGAATATTCAGGGGATAGTTTATATTTGCAAAGAGGAGGGGAAAAAAAATATTGGTAATTAATTATTTGATTTATCGGGAAATCGTCTTTTTCGGATTTGCTTATCATAGAAGCTCTGTAATTCAAGTTTCGTTTTTCTTTGACATAACTCATTGCTAATGGTATTTTGCAGTGGTTGGCTTGCTTGGCTAGGTTGGATACATTCTGGTTGGTCTTCTGGTTTTACACGTACGTTAATGGGAATT